TTGGCAATAGCTGTATGAGATCTACATATTCTGTAAATCAAAATTTAATAATAAAATAAACATTGATGTTAATTATATTTATATAAACTTGCTATGTGTAACTAGTTATTGTTACATTCAGAAATCACCTCTTACATTTTCTTCAATATTGTTCTCAAAATCATGGTGTATCAAAACTGATTGTTTTCACTGCTAATAATGTGAATGTCTATGTTGCCTATGTCAATTACTGAAGAGAAATTTATTAAATCAAAGAATAATATTGAATTATAAAAAGCAGGATCTTTAAAAGCATCATTATGTTACTAGAAACAGCAGATAATAAGAATAACAATAAGAGAATAGTAACTATAACTTTAGATCATTGGGGTCTTTTTAAAATAAGGTGTTATTTACTTTCTGGAGCTCCGTAAACAGTTTGAAGAAAAAAATTCATCATTAACTCAGTTTTTCATAGCACAAAAGAGTTTTCTTAATGGCAGTGTTATTTTTTTTAAGTGAAAAAAATACTGTATTTTTAAAGTAACAACTAATTATCATTTAAAAGTTTTCAAAAGTCAGAGAGGAAAATAAATTTTAATTAAAATATTTTTCTCAAATTCCTTCTTATTATACAACCAGTCTAAATATCCACTTCACTTATCTTCTACTTCAATAATGGCGCTTTTTGAAGACCTGGAATGTAGAGTTTGACTTGATTTGATGAACTCTTTAGTTAGTTGCTTACAGTATCAGTAAACAGTAAACAAAGCATGACCACAATCTTACTGAGGTAGAAAGCTTTCAGAAATGCAACAGACATATACTTATTATTGGTGTCTGTATATGCTTTATCACTGCCTTCTTATAACAAATAAATCTTTTATTTAAGAAATGGCTATCCAAATTGCACCTATTTCTTTTAACTAGGAACACATAAATGTTTGGTATGGTGAATTATTTTTCTATTTCACTGCTTCTATATTCTGAAGGCATCATTTGTAAACCACTAGCCTTTTCTAAAAATTAGAGAAAATAAAAAGGCTGTCAGTTTTTAAAAAGGTAAATTTTTTGATAGTTAAGAATATAAAAGTGTGTCTTTATAAAAATGTTTGGAATTTCCCTATATATAACACCATCACAGTGTGGCTACTTAATGCATATTAAGACAAAAATTAGGAGCTGATTGCTTATGACTATGAAAGGATACATTTTTAAAAATAAGTATTTATCATTAATGATAAAAATATATTCATCTATATATTCTTAGGCAAACCATACACTCAAGAAAAAATTCCAACTAGAATTTTCTTTCTTTATATTAAGGCTGTGATAGAAACTGCAAAATTAATTCAATAATCTGGGATTTTTAACAATACCCACACTTCAGCATCCCAAAGCACACTTCTAGAAAATTTAACAGGTTGTTTTAGGTTTGTGGTTTCTTTGCTACCAATTAGTAAAATATTTGAAGTAAGTCGTCCAATAGCCAATTTCATTTATGTGACTTCTTTCTCTCTCCTCATATTCACCTCGGAAACCTTCTCTTCCTAAAAAATAAAAGCTTTTCTTTTTCTTTTTTTTTTTTTTTTCCTCTCAGTAAATAAATGTAAAAACGTTCACGATTTAGTTGATCCAAATCCGGGTGGTTTGTTTGGTGAATGAAAGAACAGTATGTTTTTCCATGAGAAACCAGTAGGCGGTGCTAACCCCAGGATGCTATCTTCAACAATTTTAAACCCCAAAACTTATAGAACAAATGGTCAGTTTAAAGCATTGTAGAATTCCCAGAATTATTCATACAGAAGGAAATTTGAATAATTCTAATGTAATAGGTAGAAATTTAATGTAATTATATAAGGAAAAGTTAATATTAAATAAATGAAAACATAAGATGACTAAAGGTCCTTAGCACAATCTTTATTTACAGAAATCAAAGCGTAACTACCTCTCTGGCCACACATTAAAATCTTATGAGTATCTTATTTGATCCCATTATGGTTTCAACCTCATTTTGAAATACATAGTATGCAGTTAGTACTTTGCCTAATCGTAGATTCAAACTACCCTGACCTTAGGGCAGTAATTGGTTCTCTTAATGAAAATTCAGGTTTGAACACTCAACTTATTTCTTTCTTGCTTTCTCTACTTCTTTCTTTTAAAAGAGTTAAATGACTTACAGTTCATAAAACCTACAAAAATATATTACACACACATTTTCTTGCATTTGAAATGAGCATTTCTACATTATTATAATTAAAATTATTTTTAAAAATCACAGAATGTTACAAATGGCTTCTTAAATATTTTATGTAGCTGCTTGAAACATATGAAAGATTACATTTTAGTAAGGGGCTCACTACACAAAATAAGAAAATCAATATTTAAGGATTAGTGACATCATATTGGCTTCAAATCTTAGAACTATGCACTTCAAGATATCAAATCCAGTTTCCACAGACAATGATATAAACTGTCTCCCTTATATAAATGCAACAGGAGTTCCTTCACAGAGAAAAGCTACTCTGAGTACAAAAATAATTCACATACAATGCAGTGTCCAAAGACCTAGGAGATATGTGCATCCAATGTGAATAAACATTATATATAGCTTTCTAGATATTACAATAAATTGTAATCTTCTACAGATAAATGTTCCTTTGCACTCCTAACTCTTTGACCACAAAGAGTAAAAAAATAAGGCATAAAACTTTTCATTCCACAAAGTGAGGTTTCAGACTCAGTGAAATGTTTGCTTAAAAAAAAGCTAGTGTATGTTATTAATATAACCCCTCTGTATGTTGGAGTTAGTTTTTATTTCTGTAGTTACCAGGAAGAAAACTCCATCTGAGAAGCAAAAACTTACTTCATTTGCTTTATGTTTATTTAACAGAATCCAAAAGTATATACACATAATAAATTTAAGGCTGAAATTTTCATAAAAAAAAGAAAGTAAGAAAATAAAACCTTTAAAATCAAACAATTTAAATAATAGTTACTCTCCAGAATTTAAAATTTAAAGTATGCCTTTACAAAATACATTTGGACAGCAAATTTTCCAGCAGATCCTGTCCCTCTGTTAGATACAGAAAAGGCTTTTTATTGCCAACTGGTACATCTCTGAAAAGTAGTGCTAGATTATACTGAAAATATGTAACAGGACGATCATAAAATATCATAGAATACATTCAACACTGAATCTTCAGTGCGACCAACACAAAATCATCACTATTACCAACCCCTCACTCTTGCCCTGTATCCAGTTCTCAGGGGAAAACCTTTAGAACCAGTATCAGGTGGTTGAAAAGAGGGAAAACACTGTTCCTTTAAAGCTTAAATAAAAGGCTATTTTGCACCTTAGGGGTGTAGTCTCATTAATGCAAACTAGCAGTTTCATCCGCAGCATTAAACCCGAGTGACCATCCTACAGGAAACTAGTTCCCCATTCCCTGGAAGACGACACCAGCAAGCACTTAAAACCAACGCAACACAACAGGGAAAGAAAAGATCCAAAGACAGCACCACTGAGAAAGCCAAGCCCTTCGGAAAAGCAAACCCGGCAGGGAAAGACCTACTGCGCTGTTTACTCATTCCGAGGAGGAGCAGGAGTTGAGCGTGCGGGGGCGGGTGCCATCCTCAAGGCTCTGGAAATGTCTCCAGCTCCGGCCCGCGTGGCCTGGCGCCGGCCCCTCCGGAAGATGCGGTCCCTGCCTGCTCGTACCCGCATCTCCCGGGTCTCCGAGAGGCCGCCCCGACGGCCAACGCCCCTACGTGGCCCTCGCCCTCCTGCTTTGCAAGTGGCCCTCGGAGAACTTACAGGGCCCGGCGGCCGCCTTGTCCCCCGACCGGCGCCGCCCCGGGCCCGCCAGGGAGACGACCT